TTGGTGGCATCAAAACGAAGAATGGAGGAAAAGAAATGAATCTGAAACGAAAATGAAAGAGAAAAGAAAAATAGAGAAAGAAGAAAGAAGAGCAAAAAGAAGAGACATTGATGTGATTTGACTTAATGGGTTCGGACATAGAAAATGGTGAGAAGCCTTGGAAACAATAAAAAAGAGGAGAGAAAAATAAAATTTCAAATATATTAAAGTAACATTAATAATATATCAACTAGCTTACAGCACGGTTTAGGTTTGCCAGATAAAACCTTTAAGATATTAAGAGAAAACCAATATTTATATTATTATAACTTTTGAAACATATATTTTTATTATATATATTATCATAATTACAAAATAAGTCACATTATTTATTTTATATGTAAATATTATGTATTTATTATTATCTGACATTTATTTTTATATCTTATTTTTATTTTTATTTAAAATAATCAATATAAATTTGAAAATATATTATTTTAATTAGTAATAGTCTAACTCCGATTCAACCCCCAGTTTGACCCATAAACCCTTGACCCACTGTCTTAACTGATTTAGTGACCGGTCCGGTTTTTAGTACCTTGAAAGAATGGACCTCACCACTCTACTCACGTGTTTCACTCAAAACAGCCACTCGTGTTTCTCTTAAATTTGGCTTTTAAATTGACGCAAAACACTCTTGCTTTTAACCACTCAAGCTTGGCTCCTATAATATTCTTGATTGAAACTTAACAAAAACAAGAGACAATGTTAGTTTGTGGCAATCTTCACAACTAGAATTGGTAAGAAACTATGAGAGAAAAGAAAGGGAATGAAAGTGGGGATAGAGAAAAACCTGGAAGAGAAGTATATTATGAAAAATAAGAATTGGAAAAGGAAGGAAAACGTATAAAAAAGGAGCAAAAAATTAAGGGACACAAATATGAGTGTGGAAGAAAAAAAAGTGGAAACAAAGACTTTAGGAAAGGTACTACTATATTGAAAGCACTTTAAAAAAGTGAGTAACTTACAAGAAAAGGACTTAAATTAAAAAAAATAGTATAAAAAGGAAGAAAAGAAATAGGAAACAAAAAAATACTGAAGAAAAGACAAAATAAGAAAGTAATATAAAAGAAAAAGAAAATTAAAATAGAAAACAAAATTAAATAAAGGAAAGTAAAAAATAGAAAAGTAGGAGTCTTACCATTGAAACCTAAAGATTTAGAAAATTATTTGTGACTTGTAATGGAAGCATTCTCAAATTGGGAAGGTTGCCTTTATTTTGCAGTATTCCAAAATTGCAACTCTTTACTCTTTTTTTTTTTTTTAATGTTCGGAAATTTTTTCCTTTTTTTGGGGCAATTTTGCAACCATTTTTTTCCTAACACAATTGCGCCTTTTTTTCTTTTTCTTCTTGCACGAATTTTTTTTCTTTTTCTTTTTCCTTCTAAAAGAATAAAGAACAAGTCAACCAAACACAAACAACGGGTGGGGAGAAGATGAAAAGGGACAGAAAAAGACAAAAGGGATGAAAATAAGGAAGAAATGAGGAAGACAGAAAAAGGAGAACAGAACAAAAGGAAAACAGAAGCAACAAAGAATAAAAATGAAAATACAAAAGGATAAAACTTGAAATCTAGCAAACCTGGCTCTAATACTACTTGATATGAGGGAAACGTACGGACTGGCTAGAATCAAGTATAGGATGGAATGACACCTTGAGAGAACCTGCCTCTTGTAACCCCAAATACAAGAAACAAAACAGATGATCGAGGTAGGACCTTAAGAGAACCTATCTCTTACAATTCTGGCCATGAAAACATCATAAGGTTGATCATTTCCTTGATACTGTCTAGTATTCTCAGGAGAATATGAGAATGCAAGCAAAGCTCACACAAAAGAATAAAATTATCATATTATTAATATTTTAAATTACCTCTCTTGTAAAGAGTACATACTAAATTATTTATAGACTAAAACTCTTGAAAACCCTAATTGGTATCTTAAGCCCTAAATGCCCATTATAAGCTATTAGAACTTAAAACACTAACTAAATAGAATACGTCAAAAATAGATGCCAAAATATAACAAAAATAGGAAAATCAGAAGACCTTCTAAAATACTCTAACTTGCTAGTCAAGACAGAATAATCTAGATCACTCACTACCTAAGAGGATCCCATCATTAATGATAAGGATCTTATTTGACTCTACTAATTAATGAAATATATATTAGGTAACACTTTGCTTTCAAGAAGCAATCAATACAAAATAGGAAACTGTAAAACAAGAAACTAATTAAAACAAACAGAATCCTATTTAATGTCATATAAGATCACTCATGATGCTTCTTGGACCTTTCAAATGGATCTTCATAATTACTATTCACATTCATAAGCACGTATGGCCCTTCTAGACATGCATTTGGGCCTGAATATAATTGAATCACGTTTTGAAACTCACATGGTCCATAACATAATGCATTTGGGCCCCAATTTAAAAGATTATACTTCCAATGAACTTCTTCAAGCGCATGTAACTTTGTTGGGCCTTTAATAACATAGAAATTAACTTCAAATGCTCTTTTTGGACTCTTAGAACGTCCTCTTATCTTCCTCAAGGTCCAAATGTTCATATTCCAATGACTTACATGCTATGGTGGCTTTCGAGGTGGCCTTCCATATGTCATGTTAAGCTCCGCATGTGTTTGTGTCATCATCCAAGCAATGATCCATGTCCTCCTCCATATAAGGATTCTCAAGTTATAAATTTCTTGAATACTCTGGAGGGCCTGTAGGACCTCTAACTGAATGAGTGCTATTTCAACTTCATGACCTCCATATTGAATGCCTCGTGATATGCTATCATTATTTGGTTTAATTTGTTTCCTATTTTTTGTAATCCCAAGTTGCACTAGATCAATTTCTCCTCGGGTTAGCTACTTGTCCGAATCAACCAAGTGGTGGGTCAACTCGGCCTGGTTGGTCCGAGTTTCCATAACATCAGATGGGAGACATGATCCTCTTATGTTGATTACTTTTGCAGACATATCTAGTAGGCGCTTTAATTCTTATCTGCAAATTTGTTAGCCCTATGAACAATGGGTATGGAACATGTTTGACCACTTTCTTCAAGTATTATTTCCAATAGCCAGAACTAGGCTCCAACTACCTATCATGTCATGAGAATCTCACAAGTTCTTGTTCCTTCCATGTATCTTCAGCCTACATGGTTTTTATGAGAGAATTCTTGCTCTTGCAAAGATTCTAGATGGAAATCAGCTTGGTGTTGGCTTAGTGCCGAATAAATCAAAAGCTTGCTGTGGCTCGTCTCCAAAAACACCATTTGATTAATAAGGAAAGTCAAAGGCATATGACAAATGAATCCTATTGCACTGCTTGTGAGCATCATGTTAAAGGCACATCTGATGTCTTCTGCTTGTTCATATTTACTTTCGTTGTAATAAGCTAGTGATCCCTGACATTCTTTGGTTTGCATCACCTTTGTTATTTAATTTTTAAAATGAAGATTTTCCCTTTTTTTCCATCCTATCCCATCCGCTTTCATTATATTAAAAACTTTATTCAAGATATACACTAAGATAAAATGACGCTTGAAAAGAGGAAAAAGTATTTGTCAAAATCATGAAATAAAACGTCGAATATAAAAAAAAATTGAACAAGAGTGATTCCAAAATTCACCATTCTACAAAAGTCATGCACAACTTTAGATTCCTTATGTTTAAGCACATCAAAACCAAACAAATCTTTTCTGGCCAAAAAAATGCACTCTTACTATTAATTTACACACAATACTTCACGGAGTTAGGGAAACAAGAGAAAGTGCTAAATCTTTAATATACTCCTCCAAATTTAAGGTTAAAATCAGCCAAAGAATCTTCAGTTGCATTTGGAACTTTGACATAAATAAGGAATAAACTTTTGGTCCTTCTAATTGACCTACTACTTGATGGAATGCATTCAAAAGATATTCCATTTTTGCTCCATTGCCTCACAGATCAGTCCTATGCAGCATTTGGCAGAAAGTGGATAACCAGAAACTATAACAACAAAACAAAAAATATTAGCACAACTTACATTAAGTATACCATAATAAAACAGTAAAAAGATGTTGTCAGCGATAAAACGTCTGAATGACGGATATAAGTGCTGTTCAATTGCTTGATTCACGACTGTTTTAGTAGGAGAATTGGTAATACTAATACTAATTCCAGGATGACTTGAGGAATCCCGTAAACCGAAGTATGAAATGAAAAGCAGAGCTTGGAATTTGATGAAGCAAATGAAAAGAATCATGCTAGATGACGATGACGATATTTGACTCTTACGAGGGATAGTTAGATATAAATGCCGTATTGTTTCACATCACAGCAGCAAATTACTAATGAATCTATGACTCCATAGCTCCCTCGAGCACTCTTCTTGAGTATTTTGATTATAAATTAGAACTTTTTAGTTATTAATGATATGATTAGCAAGTTAAAAACAACAACAGTTTCACTTTGCTATACATATATCAACTTGATAACTATGTCTAGAACACAAGCATTAAGATCCACAAGCCCCCAGATAGAGTGAGAGTAGAAAATGTGGAAATATGGATACAAGGACATTAAGCTTTAAGATTACTTGTAGATGAAGTAATTTAAGTAAGAAAAATAATTTTTTCCACAACATTTGAATTACTTCATAGGAAAAATATTTGTTCAGACTAGACTAGGATTTCAAAACCCCTAAGGTAATATAAGTCAGAAAAGTTTTAGAAAAAGAATTGAAATTCAACCTATACAGGTGGGATTTGAAAATTTCTGGAAGGTGTAGTTACTTTTACCATTTTCAAAAGCCTTTACCTGAGATATAATCATGCATATAGTCCTTCTTTACACTCCCATTCACCATTGCACCCACCTGAGAACATAGGAATCTATCACAATGATTGAAGCCCAAATATCACACCTAGTTTGAACATAGAGTTTCTGCCACATTAAGCCGTTAATAAAATTGAACCATACCACGTATACAGGACTAACAGCATAATCCATAGCCGACACATAATCCTCTATGTCAACTAGCCTTTCTGAGTTATAAGAGAGACCTGCATCCCCTCAAAACAACATGATTACATCTCATCAGCTAGCCAAAGCAGTAAGATAGCAAAAAACTTAAAGCACCAGACAGTAAAATAACCCGCCTATTATGTGAGAATTGACTGGTAAATGGCGTGTCACAGGTTCTTCAAGAACACGAAGGAGTACTTCATTTGTATCTTTTGCATACACACGGGATTTTTGAAGCAATTCCACTAGAGTATTGCATAAGACCAAAGTAAAATTTAGGAAAAAAGGATCTCATTATTCATAATAAGATATAAAATAAACATCAATTGGCCTATGGAAGAAAAAAAATAATGAAGGAAGAAAGAGTCACATAAAGGAATACTTACAAATGACACCACAAAATCGCTTACATGTTCGTGGAAGTCGAACATGTGGTCTGACTTCAAAAAGAAGTCCTTTGTCAATTTTGACATATATAGCTGCTACCATGCCAGCTTTATTAAGCGGGCTGTCTAAAATGGAGCGGAGAGCCTGTAAAATTCCAAAGATAACTGTTTATTTTGAGCATTATGTAGGTATTGTCTAATACAATAAGGTAGCCTATTTTTAAATTATGATCAATTAAGAGTAGAATGCGTGAATTGACACAAATCCTATGCAAGTAACCCATACCACTATGTTCTTTAATACTTTTTGTGACCAAAGCTTTTGCATAGATAGCATTACTCTTCATCTATTCATGTTCATTGTTCTGGTTCAAGAAATTTGATTAATTTATCTTAAAAATATTGGAAGATTTTGTTCAGGAAATATACCAACCTCATGAACTATGTCAGGCCGATAATCATTAAGATTCTTCCGCTGATTTAGCAAAAGTTGGGCATCATCATCTGAATTCAGAATTTTCCATTCCTGAACGAAGCACATAAGAAGACTACAAAATGAATAAGGTGCACTAGAACTGAGATAAACAAATTTTAACCATCTTCTCACAACTTAAAAAATCAGCAAAGTTAACCAATAAACAATGGAGCCCATAAACAAGGATTGGGCAGTAAAGATTACTAATTAGCACACAAGTACCTTTCTAACCAGGCCCTTTTGCAAGGAAGCATTGTCAAGAACAAATATAGCTTTAGACCTCATTTTGTGAACAACGAACCAAAGGGATATCTCTCTGCCCAATGTCGATTGAAAGTTCCCCCTTTTCCAATGTTGCTGCAGTCAACGTTTGGTTCGCATTTTGCTCTTCTTTTAAAGTCTTTTTCTCCAACCTCTTCCGCTTTGGCCTACTGCGTCCTCTACCAGCATTATCCATGGATCTTGAGTCCCCTTAAGTAATCACAAAAATGCTTGAACTTGACAATTGATTTTAGTTTGCTCATAAAGATAGCAAAAATCACTAAAACTTAGTAATCATTGGGATCAAGGATATTCAATGTTGTCGACGGGGGAAAAAAAAAAAAAAACCCTTGTAACTCTCTATGCGACGTAGCGACCAATGAGAAAAAGAAGGGACGAAAGCAGAACCGTACCTGAAAGAAACGGACGCCGACGGTGAGTCTGGGAGTGACGAGAAGAAGCGAACAGCAAAGCCCGAGTGAGTGCCGAGCAGGTGCGAAGGCTTCGACCCGAGGGGGAATAACGAACTGTTTGGTATCAAATAAAATCTTATATTTTTTTACCAAAATAAAATATCTTATATATGTTTAATGGTTTTAATAGTTTTATTACTTTTATATAAACTTTTGGCCAATAAAATTGGTTTTATTTTGATTTTTATATTTACAATTTCGCACGTTATGTGAGAAATATCATGATATCTTTCGTGCCATGTTTTGTTTTTCATCATAATAAAATATGAATGCATATTTTTAATATGTATATTTCACACATTTAAATGTGGAAATTCTAAATTTCTAATGCACCTTTTGTCCTTTTTTTAAAGAAAATATAAGATAATAAATTTCCTAATAATTCTTAAACATTTTAAATAAATACTCTGAAATTATGACAGATATATTTGAGTGTTAGACGAATTTCAATTACAACCATTTGACATTTGTATTAGATGAAATTGGATTTTGATTTTATTTATACATACAAGCTTTTATTTTATTCAATAAAATGTGTGATATTTAACGAGTTCCATCCAATTTATTTTAGATAATTTTTATATCATATAAACTATTTTATCTGATTAAAATTAGTCAACTCTTTTTTACATTAATGGTTTTTATTAAGTTTTATACGATGAATTTTGATTTGAATATTTCATGTTTACTATTATTTGACATAGGCATTGTATGAAAAATATCCTTGTATTCATGTTTTTTTTAACCAGATATTCATGTTTGATTTTGGATATTCATATAAAATATCTTATATTATATCTTATAGCATTAGTGATATATGGTCTGCATTATTATTATGTTATTTTATAAATAGAATTATCTTTAAATCATAATCTTTGTCTTGATTTGTATTAATCATCACTTGACACTTGTTGAAAATCTGGATAATGCGTCTTGCCTAGCTCCTTCATTTTGTATATCTTCAACCTTTGTTCGTCTTCTTCCACAAGGTTAGTTTTTTGTAAATTGTCTTGGCTTAATGTCTACTTTTCTCTCTTTAATTCTTTTATTTTTAAATAATAATATCGCTTTCTTATTAATTTATGATGAAATAATAATTTGTATTAGTTATAAATACATTGTCTCTGAAATTTAACCTAATCTCAAATTGTTTCATATTTAATATTCTTGTTTGAAACAGTCTGATCTTATCGTATTTTCACAATATGAACAATAATTAAGAAGAGTGTGTGAGTTGACACAAATCCTATGCAAGTAACCCAAAATACTGTGTTCTTCAACACGCATATCTTTTTTCTTTTTTGCGACAAAAGCTTTTGCATAGTAGCATTTCCCTTGATCATTTTATGTTCTTCTTAGTTCAAGAAATTTGATTAATTTTTACCTTACAAATATTGGAAGATTTTGTCCAAGAAATGGGTATCAACCTCATGAACTATATCAGACTAGATTCTTTTTTTGACTCAACAAAAGTCATGCATTATCATCTGAATTAAAAATTTTCGACCTTTAAACTGAAAAAGATAAAACCACAAAATACATAAGGCGTCCTGCTTTTGAGATCAACAAATATGGCTTCAGGTCCCACAACAAATACCTTTTTAACTAGAAATTTAGTAAAGTTAACCAACAAATAATCAGGTCCCACAATAAATTCCTTTTTAACAGGTCCCTTTCACAAAAAAGCATTGACAAGGACAAATACGGAAATACGCTTCAGATATCATATTTGGTGAAAAACATATCAAAGGGGTATCTGTAGCCAATGTCAATGGAAACTTCTTCCCCTCCCAATGTGGCCGCCGTCAATGTTTTGTTCGCATGTTGCTTTTCTTCTTTTGAAATTACATAATAAGTCTGTTTCTCCACCTTCATTTGTTTTAGCTTTTGTCTTCTATATCCATGATTTTTTATGTTTAACTAGAATTGATATAACTCCCTTGAATAATACTTGAGTTAAATAATTGATTTTACTTTGGTTTAAAAATAGATAAAGATAGTAAAAATCACTCTAATTTAGTAATCATCTAGATCAAGAATATTCAATCTTGTCAAGAAAGAATAGAACCCTTGATATTTTATACAAAGCAACAAAATATAATCAAAGGTGTTAGTAATTTAAATGAGAAAAAGTACAATAGAACCCTTGAGAATTAATCAAAGAATAGAACCCCTGACAATTAATTAGTTCAGTGCACCAAAGGAGGGGAAAAGAAAAAAGAAAAGGAATGCATGAGTCCATGCCAGTGTGTATTAAATTTAAATGAGAAAAAGTACAAGCACGCATCCAAGAAAAGGAAAACAATACTCCTCCGGTCCTTAATATAGGACCCAATTGTTGAGTTGGTTTTGGTCCTAAATATAAGACCCATTTATCATATTTATCAATTTTCTCTAAATTACCCCTATGGATACTCCCTCAACCATAATCAAATAGAAAAAGAAGAAAGGGTATTAAGAAGATGATTATGGTATTTTAGGAAAAATGTGTTACATTTCTTATAATTAACTAACTTACCTAACTTCCTTAATTTAATAAATTAGTTAAATGGGTCTTATATTAAGGGCCGGAGGAGTACATCTTACCTCCCTAAATTCAAGACTAATTACAACTTTAAAATGTAATGAAAACACTTTAATTTTAGAAAAGTAAAAAATTTATTAATCAATCTCATGTGAAGAAGGTTATGGAGTTCCAAGGAAAAGGGAATATATTGATGCTTTTTCGGTGTGGATATAGGCCATCATTAGATCTTAGCCGAATGCATTTTCAACAGTACAATTTAAATTAATGAGAAAGAGATTGGTATCAGGTATAGATATGATAGAGGATTGATAAGCAGTCTCTCCACTTAAATAAAACAATAAAAAAATATTTTATAAAATTATTTTCCAAATGTAAAATTTGAACAGTTTAAATTTCAATATTAATGGTTGAACTTAATGAGAAAGTGATAAGTGATATAGATATCAGGTATAAACATGATAGAGATTGGTATAAGGTTTTATAAGATAGAGAAGTAATAAACAGTCTCTCCACTTAAAAAATAATAATAATAAAAAATATTTTATAAATTTATTTTTTAAAATGTAAAATCTAAACCATTTAAATTTTAATCTTACTGGTTGGAATTAATGAGAAAGTGATAGGCCGTATAGTTATCAGGTGTAGATATGATAGAGATTGGCATCATGTATAGATATGACAGAGGAGTGATAAGCAGTACCCTGCTTTTGGAGGGGAAAAAAACTAAATTTAGTACTTAATTTTATATAAGGTTTTAATTTAATTTTCTTAACTTTAAAATTAATATATTTGGTCCTTTCAACTTAAAATCTCTAGACTTAAATAATAATTTTTTGATTATTTTAAAAATTAAATTTAATATGTTAGTATTTAAAAATATTTTATTAATATTTAAAACATCAATGTCATTATTTGTTATTAATAATTTTAGGATTTGAGGACTAAAAGTATACTTTTTAAAATTAAAAAACTAAATTGAAATTTTCATAAAATTAAATGTATATTTTAACCTAAAAACAATAATAAAATTTTTTATAAATTATTTTTTGAAATATAAAATCTGAACACTTTAAATTTCAATATTAATGTTGGAAATAAGTAAATAAAAATGGAGGGAAGGAAAAATGGGGACTGGAGATGCCCTTTTTACGTGAAACTACAAACTTGAATTTAAATCCTCCACTGTAAAATTGATGGTGAACAAAATTATACATATAAAATAAAACAAAGGGGAGATCGCAAAACAAAACTCTGAAAATTGTGAAATTGTAAATTAATACTCCTTAAAAGATTTGTATAAGCTTTGAGAATAATCAAATGGCAAATGAACAAATTTTTTATAAAATACCTGACTTACAATTTTATAATTTTCATGATTTTTTTCCCACCGTTTTCCCTTGAACAATATATAACTCCTCTGGTCCTAATTATAAGACCCAATTGACTTATTTGAGGAGATTAAGGAAGTAAGTTAAGTTGGTTATTTATAATAAATAAGTGTTGTTTATTCCTAAAATATCCTTGCTAATTAAGTATATTGGCTAAAACTATCATTATTAGAAGGATTATCTTGGAAAAAAATGCATAAATATAAAAGAAAAAATGGATTGGGTCTTATAATTAGGACCAAATAAAAAGTCAAATTGGGTCTTATAATAAGGACCGGAGAAGTATAAAGTTATGAATTACGTGATAAATGTAGCACAGGACGAGGCAGCTGACAGGTATAACAGTTCTGTTCAAACCCAAATTAATCAAAGTTGAGCCGTAATGGTAGATCGTTAGATTAATATATTATAACCTTATATTAAAATATTACTATAAAACAAGAATTTAATAAAAATATATTACAAGCCACTTCCTCCTATTTTTTGGGAATTGTTAATTATTTCTTCTAAACAGAATCACCAACTACTTCATTCAAAATAAACAGAATAAAACAGTACAAACTCATCACTCTTATGAAATGAAACCAAAATCAAACCGTAAAAGTAGAGCAGAGAAAGATGAAGACAAGAGAATAA